TGATGACCCCTGAAGTTTGTATAGATGATTTTCATTTTTAATCCTCAATTAATTGCTATCAATGTAGAAAAGTACATTTTAATTAATTCTAAGTTCCAGTTGCTGTTAATTGTGTTAGATCTGAAAAAGTTGATTCCATCTCAAGTTTCATTTGACCAGACTTCAATTTTCCAGGACATTTGTAAAAAAAATGATGTTAGAAACGGCTGTTACATAGAGGGCAGTGGACCAGAATCCTTCTAGCAATAATTATTGTTGACATGGATAAAAAAAATCGTGTTTTGTCATTGTGGCTTTCAGTAAAACAATAAAGATTAAACTTTAGCTTTAAAAAAGTTTTAAAATTTAATATTTTAAGAATCAGTAATATAAAACATGCAAGTGACGAGATCTTGAAAATAAAGATTTCTGTGTTTAAGGCTACATTTCTATTTTTTATAGGCTGTACACAAATTCCGTGACCAATCTTCTAAAACCCTACTTTCTAGTCATTTAAATACAAAACTTTGTCAATATTTTTTTTTTTAATTTTACTTTTTCAAACCATGCGGCCTATTTATACCATGTTTATGTACTTTTTCAGTGACAAAATGTAAACAAACAAATTATTTTGCTTTTCTAATTTTTATTAAGTAACTGAAATGACTAAAAACTTCAAATACATCAAATCGGGGTAAAGTCCAACAAAACCAAACCGATTTTTATAACCATATTTATTGTGATAACATCGTACAGGATTTATTAAATATTCTCGATTCGGTTTCATTAGGTTATTGGAGGGGGTGGGGGATTGGAGGGGGGTGGGGGAATGTGTGTAAAAGTTCAAGGATTTAATAATTTTAAACTTTTAAATTCAAACTTTCAGGCCATGAAATTAGGTCAAGAACAGCCTCCGTTAACACCAAGTTAAATTCTATGTTTTAAAGCGGACATCAAATGATCGTAAACAAACCTTGGCAGCAATGTCAAGGTCACACCGGCCCAAAATGTTCACATCTTTGCTTACCGTCTAACAAGTTACGGTGAGTTTTTGGTCAAGTTTACCTGGCTTTTTTTTTTACCCGGACTTATATGGGTCAGGTGCTCAAGGACGAGGGCGTAGAACAAGAAATGGTAAAACCTGGAACACAGCGAGTTCCAGAAAATTCTACAAGGTTAATTAGTGTTGCAACATTGATGTTTTCAATGCAGAGGTTATGTCCTAGAGGTGGGACTAGGGTGGTGGGACTAGGGTGGTGGGACTAGGGCGGTGGGACGGGTGGTGGAACTGGGGTGGTGGAACTTGGGTGGTGGAACTAGGGTGGGGGAACTAGGGTGGGGGGACTGGGGTGGGGGAACTAGGGTGGTGGCACTAGGGTGGTGGGACTAGGGCGGTGGGACTAGGGCGGTGGGACTAGGGCGGTGGGACGGGTGGTGGAACTAGGGTGGTGGGACTGGGGTGGTGGGACTGGGGTGGCGGGACTGGGGTGGCGGGACTGGGGTGGCGGGACTGGGGTGGCGGGACTGGGGTGGCGGGACTGGGGTGGTGGGACTGGGGTGGCGGGACTAGGGTCGTGGGACTAGGGTCATGGAACTAGGGTGGTGGAACTAGGGTGGTGGAACTTGGACGAAAGCCCCTATATATTGATGTATACAGGTCAAACAAATAATTGTACTCTAGAATAACTACAGCTGCCTTTCAAACTATGAGCCATTTTTTAACTGGAAACTACACTACATTTTATTTTGATACATTCTCAGTATTTCATTATCAATCGAACATCATATTTTCCCAATTTTTAAATTCTTTTTAATTTAATGTAATGGCAAATTTGCTTAATTAAATTAATGAATAGGTTTAACCATTAAAGGGAGGTAGCCTTCGTCAATATTATTAGAAAGTTGTAACTACACAGTTACTTCCCCTCGCTCACTATAAACAACACTAAAATCATCACGTAATTTGAAGGGAACAGTTCAAACAAAATATATCGCTCACTATAAACAACGCTAAAATCATCACGTTATTTGAAGGTATCAGAACAAACAAAATATATCGCTCACTATAAACAACGCTAAAATCATCACGTTATTTGAAGGTATCAGAACAAACAAAATATATCGCTCACTATAAACAACGCTAAAATCATCACGTTATTTGAAGGGGCCAGATCAAACAAAATATAACTCCATGAACCATTTCCCACACTGAAGTTCTACACAGACAACTAGAAAAATAAAGCAGGAGTAATCTCCCCTAAACTTTCTCGTATATTCTTATAGTAATAGAAACAGCACTTCCAGTGTTCTAGGAATGTCAGCGACTTGATAAAACAGTTACATCAATTTTAAATGACACCAAACTAATTTCAAGTTCACATAAACATCTAGACATGTATAAAAATTAAAAAGTAATAACTTGTTCCCGATTGGCGTTGAACCCACAGCTACTGATCAGCATTCCATAAGGTAAACTCTCGGCCTGTTCAACACGTGTCGTGTAGTGAATACATTTGGTTGAGCCTCGTTCAACACGTGTCGTGTAGTGAATACATTTGGTTGAGCTTCGTTCAACCCGTGTCGTGTAGTGAATACATTTGGTTGAGCCTCGTTCAACACGTGTCGTGTAGTGAATACATTTGGTTGAGCTTCGTTCAACCCGTGTCGTGTAGTGAATACATTAGGTTGAGCGTCGTTCAACACGTGTCGTGTAGTGAATACATTTGGTTGAGCCTCATTCAACACGTGTCGTGTAGTGAATACATTTGGTTGAGCCTCGTTCAACACGTGTCGTGTAGTGAATACATTTGGTTGAGCCTGGTTCAACACGTGTCGTGTAGTGAATACATTTGGTTGAGCCTAGTTCAACACGTGTCGTGTAGTGAATACATTTGGTTGAGCCTCGTTCAACACGTGTCGTGTAGTGAATCCATTTGGTTGAGCTTCGTTCAACCCGTGTCGTGTAGTGAATACATTAGGTTGAGCGTCGTTCAACACGTGTCGTGTAGTGAATACATTAGGTTGAGCTTCGTTCAACACGTGTCGTGTAGTGAATACATTTGGTTGAGCCTCGTTCAACACGTGTCGTGTAGTGAATACATTTGGTTGAGCCTCGTTCAACACGTGTCGTGTAGTGAATACATTTGGTTGAGCCTCGTTCAACACGTGTCGTGTAGTGAATACATTTGGTTGAGCCTGGTTCAACACGTGTCGTGTAGTGAATACATTTGGTTGAACCCAGAGCCGGCGTTAGGGGGTGGCGAACGGGGCGGTCGCCATAGGCCCCGCGCTTGAAGGGGCCCCGCGCTTCAGCAATGTCATTGTTATCTGAATTAGTTTGTAAACTTAAAAAAAAATTGTTGCTGAATTAAATTGGGAAAAACTAAATGGTCGAATGCCGACGTTGTTGATTGTTATAACTGAGGCCACGGTTGATGTTAGTGAGTCCCACCTGAACTGGGACAGGCCGTAATTCGATACAAAAATAGTGTCACACCTCCCCTTTGTGTAGGGTACGGTCGCCTGGCATTTGACCTGAGCTGACTGGAGATGGCAGTCGAGAATCAGCCCACGAGGTAAAGAGATACCCTATTGTATGCGGACCCATGAAGACGTCCTTTTAGAGAGCAGACGGGATGTCTGTAGTAGACCGTTAGTGAACTGATGAACTCTAGTCCTGACTTTCTTGTTGTAGATGTCGTATAATGTCGTATATGTACAGTGTTTCTTCCAGACTCCCCCTCCCCCCGAAGAGATGCCTGGAAGAAACTCTATATGTAGGCCTACTTGTCTTGGTATAACAAAATTAACATTCCGTTGCGTGCAGAGGGGTGGGAGGACGGCGACGAGGGGGGGGGGCCTTAGGATCTATATCAGGCGGCATTAAACAGAGTGATTTATTATTATTTTTTGGAAGAAAGTTAAAACTGTTGTTATGTTGTGTCATCTTAAGGATTCATCCGTTCTAAGACAGAATGATTAATTTACCGAATTCATCCAAATTGTTTTATTCAATCGTCTTCCAGTGGTGCTGACATGATATAGTCAGCGAATTGTCCTCGTCGCACAACTTTGATTGAGGAAGGGGCATCGTTGAGGCAATGGAGCGTTGTGATTTAGTAGTCATTGATATTCCCCCAATAAACGCAGTCTTTCAATTTATATGTGATACTTTGGTGAACTTAACTGCATTTGTAGAGTGATTAAGCACATTTTTTTAATTGTAGGGAAATCCTTTACAATAGTTAAGACAATAATGATTTTGGTTTTAAAATATTGTATGAATTCTAAACAAATTTTGAAGTCTATACTGTTTTGATACATCAGGCCGAGTTCGCTGTATTGTAAACTTTATTTTCCTAATTATTCGGCACGTGATTAAATTTTCTTAAGTGATTTGGTATGAATTACATAACAGTCAAAAGTGATTTAATATCTTAGCAAGGAAAAAAAACTACGAACATTGGGTTAATACATGGGAGAGATAAAAATCTGTTATTATAGTGGAAAGTTTGGCATTAGCTTATGAACTCTAAAACATTTGTGTTATTATATGTAAATAAAATTATATAGGCCTTTATACACACACACACACACACACACACACACACACACATATATATATATATATATATATATATATATATATATATATATATATATATATATATATAATGGAAATGGAAAGGCCCCGCGCGGATGGTTGGCCCTAGGCCCCGCGTATTCCTAACGCCGGCTCTGGTTGAACCTATTTCTCTTCTGTCAATAAAATACCTGCCTTTGTTATTTGAACAGTAGGGGTGCCTGAGGGGCTAATCAGGTGACAGATGGTTTATTTCAGCAACTTCCATATAATTAAATACAGGCCTTGTTTGATTAATAATATACCTGGCTAATTGCCAAATGCCAATTAAAGTTGTGTAATAGGGGTGAGGTGAGGTGTTAGCATATTTGCTTGAAGTGAGGTAAAGTAAAATCAACTAGGATATCAAATCTACATTTATACACATCCCACCTTACAT